TTCTTGTAGCGCACGTGCAGCGCGACCGCCTCGGCCTCGCGCTCCGCGCCCGGCCGGATGGTGCCCACCTCGATGATGTCGAGGAGGTACTTGTGTTGCTTCGCCGCGGTCCGCAGGTTGCGGAACCACTCGTTGAACTCCCGCTCGGAGCTCTGTTTGTAGGCCGGAATCACCAGCTTGTCCGTCGACGACATGTTGTCGTAATGTCCCGGGGATCGTTGCCCCGCCGCCACCAACTGTGAAGGTCTTCAGTGACCACTCACAAGCTGTTCCAAGGCCCGACAGAAATGTACTGTCAAAACTTTGTTCAAACAAAAGTCCTGGCCCGCGGCCCCCACACCCACAATGACTATCAATCCAGGCTGCGGGTGAAGGGCAAAACCGCGCCGCTGCAGAACGGTTTTTGCAAAACCGCGCCGCAGCGGTACGAAACTGCGCAGATGCAGTCCAGGGGTGGTAAGGACACTATGTGTGTGTGTGTGGCCGTAGACTAGACGGCTGCGCGGTCGTCGGTCTTCAACAGATCGCGTCGAGGATGTATTCCTCGATCACCTCGTCGGGGAGGTGCCACTGGGAGTCCTTGAGCAACTTGTTCGCCTGCTCGATGCCCGTCTTGAACTTGGCGAGGCTCGCGGACGTGAGGTCCTTGAGAGCGTCGGGGGAGTACGCCTTCTGTGAAGGTCTTCAGTGACCACTCACAAGCTGTTCCAAGGCCCGACAGAAATGTACTGTCAAAACTTTGTTCAAACAAAAGTCCTGGCCCGCGGCCCCCACACCCACAATGACTATCAATCCAGGCTGCGGGTGAAGGGCAAAACCGCGCCGCTGCAGAACGGTTTTTGCAAAACCGCGCCGCAGCGGTACGAAACTGCGCAGATGCAGTCAAGGACACTATGTGTGTGTGTGTGGCCGTAGACTAGACGGCTGCGCGGTCGTCGGTCTTCAACACGACACGACCGCCGGTGTGAACATGCCGGGATCGTATGCCGCTGGCGTCGACTCCAAGGCGGGCATGAACATGTTCCCGACGCCCGACTTCTTCCCCCGCGGGTGGCACGAGCCCGAGAAGCCCATCTACATCCGCTGCGCAAACAACGACTACCTCAAGGCGAAGGGCGTCGGCACCGCGTACGCCTTCGCGCTGGCTGACCCGACCAAGCCGCAGGACACCAAGGTTGTGAACACCGAGTGGGTGAACGCGCTGTACGCGCCCGGACTCGCCATGCCTCTCGTCAGCGTCAAGGAGTGCAAGGCGCAGAACATCGTGGTCCGCTTCGACCTCTGCCCACCACGCCTCAACTACCCCTCCGGGCAGACCATCTACTTCGGGGAGGACTTCAACATCCACCTGATGCCGCTCGGCGCATCCGTCGGCGCCAACGCCGCCAAGGCCATCGTGCGCGGCAAGCCGGGGCGGCGCCCGACGGATGGCACCTTCTGGCGGCACGCCCTGTGCATCTCCGGCGACGCGCTAAAGGATCTCAGCAAGATCGCGGACGGCGTGCCAGACCTCTCCAAGATGGACCGCAACGAGGGCCTCGACGACGCCGCGCTGCAGGCGAACGCCAAGTACCACGCGCGGCGCAGCACCGGCCGGCCACTGGCCAGGCGAGAAGCCTTGCGCTGCCATCGGTCAAGGCGCAGCTGGACGAGACGATGCGAGAGGAAGGCCGGCGGCTTTTCGAAGCGCAGCACGACCTGCGGCGCCCGGCGCGCTGATGCCGACCACTGCAGGGTTTGTTGTCGACGAGTACTGGATTCTGTTTTTCTTGTTTGACTTGGCGATTTGAGAGTCGCGCACACACTGGCCAGTGTGCTCCTCGCTCGCTCCCCGCTCGGCTCGGTGAGCTGTCGCCCACCAGCGCGCGGCGACCGCGCGCACACCACCAGCGCGCGGCGACCGCGCACACACCGCGCCCGCCGGCTCTCCGCCCTCCTCACCACCCGTCGGCGCTGTCCGCAGGCATGTGAGGCGGAACGGCGACCGCACGGCGCGCGCGGGTGTGGAGAACGTGATCATCTGCTGCCGACGCGATCGACCGCCGGGCTTCGGCCCCTCGCCGGCGCAGCGCCGGCGAGGTCCTGGGTCATCCCCGGGCGGCGGTCCGGGCGGCAGCAGATCTCTGCGCCGCCCGCATCCTGTTCGTGATCAGGGCCGAGCGCGCGCCCGCGCCCGCCGCGCCCCGCACGCAGCCACATCCTGCGTTCTGCGGCGGCAGCGGCCTTATCTCTCTCTCTCCCTGCTCTCCCAAGCCGTGCGCACCGTCGCCGCGCGCGCGCGCCGCCGCAAGCTGCCGGGCTGACGCTCGTCCCCGTGCCCCTGTTGCGCAGGCAACACCCGCGCTCGTGCGGACCGCACGACCAGCTTCCTGCTCGCGCCGCCCTCGCTGTGGCCCGGCGTCTCCGCCGGCGGCTGGTGCGTCAAGGTGATGAAGAGCACCACCAAGCCTGACGTCACCACGGTCAAGTTCAACGACTCCACGGTGACCTTCTCGTTCGCCGTGGTTGCCTCATGGAAGCCCGTCTCCTAGAGAGTCGGCGCCATCGCTCTTGCCGCGCCGCGCGTAGTGCGCGTCGCGCGGGTACCGCACTATTAGGGCACTATTAGGGCCACTATTAGGCTCTCATAGTGCCCTAATAGCGCCCTAATAGTCGCTATTAGCCCATCTCATAGTGGTGTTCTAATAGCTCCAGACGTTATGAAGCTCAGCTATTAGCCCCTCTGAGCTAATAGTAGCACTATTTGAAATCGCTATTAGCCCTTTCTTCATTATGAGGCTAATAGTTTGACCAGTGCGCAACTCGAACGCATGATACTTACAGCTGTCAGCTGTTGTCTGTACAGAGATGCCAACACCCCCCACAGGCAGAGCGCTGCTGCTGCTGGGGGGGGGGGGGGGGGGGGGTCCCACCATCAAAACGCTGCTGCTGGGGGGGGGGGGGCCGCCCTGGGCTTAAGAGTGCATGGGGGGACCCATTAACATGGGGGCCCTCAAGAGGACTTTCGGCAACAACCTTTCTTTTAGTGGTGGATTTTCCCCACACCTCACGCTCAATTCCTTAGTCGGAGGCCTTTTGGAGCTCCATTCCCTGCCATCTGGAAGGCCAACATGCCGGGAGAGACGACGGACTCATGCTGGAATCCGCCCCCACCGAGGGACTGGCACACCAGCCACCCTCGTGGGCGGGAGCATCGTCATCATCGGTGGGTACATTGTCACACGCTCACTCACCGATATGAATCTTCTCGACAACGGAGGCCATGGC